GAAGCGGCGACAGCCGTAATAAATCCGTTATTATATATATAAAAATTAAGGCTTACACATTGAGAATCAGAATTATCGATTTAACCCAGTTTAGAGAAAGAAATAGGTAAAAAAATATATTACAGGTAACTGATCGTTTTAAGTCATGTTGGAGATACAGTTAATAAAAAATATGTATCCAGGTACGGTCAGACCGGTTTTATTTTTTCTATAAACAAACGCCAAGTCCGAAAATGTAGTATTTTTAGGAGCAATTTTTGTAATGAGAAATTAATGTGTTATGAAGAGACGGTTAATTTGAATTTTCACAATTTCACATCCATCAATATTTTGCCTGGATAATTTCAAAAAATCTTATTTTTACCCAACTAAAACGGGAGTTACCCAACTAAAACGAAATTAAAAATTTTCGAATCTGTAATGAAAATTTATGGAACCAGACCAACTTGGAAAATATCATAGAGTAAATAAGGCAAAGAAAATGGAGCTGGCTGGGCCACACACTTAGTAAACTCCACATGATATTGCCAGTACAGCGCTGGATTGGAATCTTCAAAACTGACTAAAAACTTGTAAAAGGACAATACTGGAAGAAAGGAAAGAAATGGAAAAAACCTGGCTTGAAATCAAAACACTAGCAAGAAATAGAGTTCGCTGGAGATACTTCGTGGAAGCCGTATGTTCCTCTCTCGGGAATATATAAACGCTATATCTACCATTACGGATATAAAAACAAAAGACGAGCATAAGTAACTTTATTTTGCAGCTTGATTCTTCTGATAAATCCACAAGTCGTAAAACTATGAAACTTGCCTCAAACACGGATTTAGATGATGCTGTATATAAGTGGTTCACGCAAAAAAAACTCGGAGGTTCGTCAAATTTTCAAGCAAGCACAGGCTGGTTAAAACGGTATAAAGTCGAGACATGGCATTCGTGGACTTCAAATGTAAGGAGAAAAGCTATCTGCTGATCATCATAATAATAAATTCAAAATAAGACTAAGTGAATTACTGAAGGAAGAAAATTACGCACTCGAAAACGTTTACAATGGAGACGAAACTGGGCTAATCGGAAAGCTTTGCCACGAAAACTCTTGCGTCTCGGCGTGAATTAGCAGCACCTGAACCTAAAATAAGCAAGGATTGTATCACTGCCTTAGCTTGTGCTAATGCTACTGCCAGCCGCCGATTGCCTGTGCTTTTCATTGGTAAAAGCAAGACACCACATTGTTTTAAACACGTTGATATGAATGCGATGCCTACCGTTTATACTTAGCAAAAAGAGTGCTTGGATGAGTAGTACAATTTTCATGGAATGGTTTACGAGGGTGGATTGATATAAAACTAGTCTTTGATAGAAAAAACAAGTTTTTTAGAATTAAATCGATTTATTTCTCAACATAGTCCCCTTTTAGCTCGATACACTTAGTAAGACGATGTTCCAATTTTTTTATCCCATCCGAATAAGCTCTTTAAAAGGCTCGAGCCGAAGTTTCAGCGACGACTTCATCATTTGTTGCGAAACGGCGTCCTCCGAGCCATTTTTTAGGTTTGGAAACAGGAAAAAATCGCTGGCAGCAAGATCTGCAGAATACGATGGGTGTTCAATCAATTCATAGCCCACTTCGTGTAATTTTGCATTGCGACGGCCGATCGGTGAGCCGGTGCATTGTCTTGGTGAAAGAGCACTTTTTTTCATTCCAAACCGGGGCGTTTTCGACGCAATTCGGCATCGAATCGATCCAATAATGCTGCGTAGTACTCACCATTTATTGTTTTCCTTTTTCCAAGTAGTCGATGTGGATGATGCCCTTCGCATCCCAGAAAACAGTCGCCATCACTTTGCCGGCCGAATGTGCACTCTTTGCCTTCTTCGGCGGCCCTTCGCTGCGTTTGCACCACCGTTTCGACTGTTTTTTGGTTTCCGGTGTGTAATAATGCACCCAGGTTTCATCAACGGTGATATATCGGCGAAAAAAACATTATATTCGCGCCGTATCATCGCCAAGAGCGTCGCCGAAGTGGTCACACGTTTTCGCATTTGATAGATTGTCAGCAAACGCGGTACCCATCGCGCGGATAGCTTTTTCATGTCCAAATGATGGCAAATGATGTTGTGTACGCGTTCGTAGAAAATGTTTAGGACCTTTATTAACTTGCGGAGCTTAATTCGACGATCTGCCATAATCATGTCATGGACTTTGTTGATAATTTCCGGCGTGGTGACTTCATTTGGCCTCCCGGGACGCTCATCATCAAAAACACTCGTATGTTCAAGAACAAATTCAGCTTTCCAAAATTTTACTGTTATTAACGAAGGTGCAACCTCACCATAAACTTCTTCCACCTCGGCTTTGATTTGCACATTCGTTTTACCGTTTTTGTGGAGGAACTTAATCACTGAACGATACTAGACTTTTTCCATTTCTCCGAAAACACAAAATTTGCTTGCTTTTGACGGCTGTAAAAACCAAACTAATTGTTTTTAAAACTTAAAATTTTGACAGACGTCATGTCATGAATGGCAAATGTCAACACCGAAACCAATTCGGTATCAAGTAGCGCCATCTATCAAAGGCTAGTTTAATATCAATCTATCCTCGTATAGGAACTTTTATATCCTCCGTTCATCAATTAAAGGCCCATCAATTAAAAAATGGTAAAAGAGAGAAAACATTATTGCTTCTTTATAATACCCCAACTCATCCAGCATGTGAAATCTTAAATGAAAACGACGATTTTATAAAAGTCATGTTTCTTCCACTTAATGTGACTTCATTATTACAGCCCATAGATCAAGGCATTATTGAAACTTTCAATAGAATAGAAAAGAATTGTTACGTAAGTTACTTTTGGAAAAAGAAGAGGAGAGAGAAGAAAGCCTAACAAGAAATCATGGAAAAAGCAATTTGAAGGACGTGTCTTAGATGATTGGAGCAGCATGGAACAGTGTAAAAGAGCAGAACTTAAAAAAAACGTGGAATAAAATTTTGTCTTTAGTGGAAAATAATGAAATAGTCCAAAAAAGAGAATATGCAAAAGAAACTCAAGAAGATAAGTCTGAAATGATAGATTTGCTAAAAAAACTTAATTGCGATGGATGTGATGAAGAAGTTCAACACTAGAAGGATTTTGACGATGATGATCCCGGACACCAAATTATTCGCTTTCACTGCATGTACTGCCGCTTGGTTTCAATACTTTCACTTAAAAATCTATGTTTCGTCATTTATTTCGTCATTGGCGCATTTTTTTGCGTACATGAAAGTATTGACTAGCTGATCAATGAAAGTAAGTTATACATTAAATAGTTTTCCTTAATGAATTTCATACAAAAATACATAATACAATTTTTAATAAAATGTATGTGTTTTTAACATTCGACCAAACCTTCTTTGACTCCTTTCTATTTATCAGCAGAATTGCGCAAACCATTTATTTGTCAGCACCTCTATTGACCGTGTTACAAATGTTGTTTATTTTACACACTTGAAACGAGGGACGTCATTAACGTCAATAGTACAAGGTTTGCTTTTTTAGTTTTACATATAACCGATATAGAGGGCGCCACCAATAAAACCTTCTGACACAAATGTAACCTCAATCTTTTGTTGACATAAATCGAGAGTTTAATTGCCATACAACAGATCGTGTAGATTAAGTGAATGTTTGAAATTAGCAAGTCGGTCGAAAGATGGATCTTGGTCGAGAACATATTCGGTCAATAATTTTTTACAGTTTTTACAGTCAACTATTTATCGCTGACATTGCGAATTACAACGTGATCGCTCCAGTCTCAGCGACGAATCCAGGCCAGATGCACCCAAAAAAAGCAGTCACACAGCAAAACATTGATGCGGTTCGTCAGCTAATTAAGGTTGATTGCCGTGTAACATACCGGGAGATAGAGGCATCTATGGTAGACTGGGTGTTATGAAGTTGGATTCCCGTTGAATCCCTCATTTGCTCACAGAAGAGCAAAAATCAGTTCGCGTCAATTGGTGTCGTACAACAATGGAACGGTTCAACAAAAGAAGCTCAAAAAACGTTGCTAATATTTTTAGTGGCGATGAATCTTGGATTTACTCTTACGAACCATAAAAAAAACGCCAATCCGCTGTGTGGGTGTTTTACGATAAGAGAAAACCAACAAAAGTGATCCGTTATCCAAGTTTGTCAAAGAAAATGGCCGAAACGTTTGTGTCAAAATCTGGTCATCTGACAATTGATTTAGAAGATCTAAGAACGGTTACTTCTGATTGGTATATAACCGTTTGTTTACCAGAAGTTATCGCAAAACTCCGACAAAGCAACACACAACGACCAATCATCCTACATCAGGACAATGGAAAGTGCTCACACTGCCCAAAAACAATAGAGTTTTTGGAGCTTCAAAACATCGAATGGTTAAAAGATCCACTCTATAGCCCCGACCTAAGTCCCAACGACTCCTCCACGTTCCCAAAGATCAAGAATTCAATCCATGGGCAGTGATTCTAGTCGCCAGATGAAGCAATCGATGTGGAATAACTGTTTTACCAATTATTGATTTGAACCTCTGCAAAAGTGTATCGATCTTGGTGGGATATATTTTGAAAAGCAATAAAGTACTTTAAGTTTATATATTTTTTGTCTTTATATCTATAGATATGCAAAACTAAAAAGGCACCCCTCTTAACCTCCTTTAAATCTCTATATTATTTGATTCTTTTTCATATCTATAACCTGCACATTTGATTCTTTAATGGAAGTCTATAAGTTAATTACTGCCTACATTTCAAAATATTGATATATATATATATATATATATATATATATATATATATATATATATATATATATATATATATATATATATATATATATATAAAATATATTCTTACAATCTACTTGTACTGCAAATATGAATAAATAGATTTCAACTTCAATTACAATTCATCTCATACTCTGGCTTTTTTAATTTATATTTAAAAACTGAAATATAAATTTAAAACTTACCAGGTTCTCGGTGGTGGAGGATCACACTTGGGAGCGGCATAAATGATCATAATAGCTCCAATCAGCATAGCCGCCCATAGTAACCAAAAAGTAACGAACAGGAACCAACGGAGACGTACCCAAAATGGGTCATTGGCATACTTCATCAATTCTTCCTTGGTCATACCACCAAAAGTGGCCTTGGGCTCAACTGTAAACAAAATAGGAGAAATTGTTAATTTAGTTTTAAAAAGAACACAAAATAGTTAAGAAATTATGGGTAATTATAAAAAAGAATGCTAATGTACTGACCATGATGACAGTGAAGATATAATGATGAATACACCAGCAAAACTTAAGACAAGGAAAACATATGTTGAAAAACTATTCATTTGCGACAGAAGCAGACTACATCCCTTTGAAAAATAAATAAAAATTGGGCCAGAGATAACAACAAAAGAAGTACCATATGAACTCAAAAATATGAAAAATGGGAAAGCACCTGGCCAGGATGAACTGCGTATGGAACATAACATTGTTTAAATACAATGGCAATCCCTGAAATGAAGAGGAAGCAAACATAATATGGGCATAAAACGTGAAATATCTAAATGGATTGATAACAAATCAAAATATGTCTGAAAAGACCATATAAGTAGAATGGGAAAAGCTAGAATTGTAGGCAGAGAGCTGGGAAAGGTATGACACAGTGAAAAACTAGCAAGTAAACACAATTAGTAATAACTAACATCACATAGGAGACTAGTGCTAAAGAAAATGATTTAAGAATCTAGGTATTAGGTCAAAAGTACATTTAGATTTTTTATAAAAATTAAATAATTATTAAAGAATACCTTGAAATTCCTCAACAGTATTATCCATGTTAGAAACCACTTTTAATGTTATAGAAATGAACAAAATAATAAAATATTTGGCAAGAATAATAACATATTATGTTTACATTTATAAGTATCAATATTTAAAACAAAAAGTAAACAATTCTTCATTATTTGATAATTTTGAAGCGACTTTTAGGTGTTTTGACATACATCAGTTGAAAATAATTGTTAAATATGAATTAGTGTTATTCTGTGAACAGAAGCACTAACTTCAGTAAAAGTTAGGAAAGACAAAATGTTTGCTTTTAAATTTACACCATTTATTATTCTAATAGACTGTTTAATAGCCTGATCAAAATAAAAAAAAAATGTATTGGATTAGATTTCAAATTAAGACCTTTTCCAAATAAGAGTTTAGGTGATTTAGGAAAAAAAATATGTTCTCATGAAAGTGTCATTTTAATTTTACGGGATCATTGTTTAAACATTTATTAAAACTAAAAAAATATATAAATTTTTACTTTTTTCCTTTAAAGTTTTTTAATAAAGCTTTCTTTTTAGATTTTCTAAATAAAATTTTATGTATCACTAGCTGACCAGCGAACTTCATATTGTCATAAAATTAAATATTGTTCAATTGTGCTCAAAGTTCAATAAACTACTCTTTCGAGTCTGGTAAGTAACAGAAATCTCTGGGTAATGAAATGAATCTGGCCAAGGTGTGAATAGTGACTTTGCCATTTCCAATATCTAACAACTGCTTTGAAAACATCATTGCTTTGATCTTGTTGCAAAAACACTCACATATTATTTGTCAACTGTAGTTTCTTTACATGCCACCACTAATTGGATGATATTAAACATGTGTTTAGTTTGTCCGCAGTTATTGGGGAATAATAAATTAATAAATAAGAAAAAGCCTGAAAATAGAATCATGTTTCACCAAAAATGTTTTTGATTGTCACAAACATTTTCCAAAGTTCTGTATAGTCTATGTAATGTCTTCTTGTGGGCCAATATACATTCATTCCAAATGATTAATTTGCATACCTGTAAAATCTTTGTCATTGCTCTATTTGCTACTGTGATCTGATCCTTACCAATAACAATAAAATTAGTAATGTTTTTTATGTCCATAAAATGGACATTGTTGTAAAAACAACATATTATATTAAAATTATTTTATTTTTCGCTTTCACAAATATTGGCTGGAATCTTATGTGACAGACTGTACTTCTAGCCTCAAAATATTTGTGTCATAAAAACCTAGCGCAGATGAGATTGTATGTCTCAAGTTGATAGCCGATAGTGTGGTGTGTGGTACTCTCCGGTAAGTAAGCCATCCTCCACGGCTCTTCACCTCCAAAATGCAGAAAAAAGTGCATTAGTTTTCTCTATAGTCGAGCGCCCCTAAACACCCATATAACAATGAAAAATGTGTTAAAGCGAATTAAATGTGTAGTATCAATTAATTACACTTTATTTTTCTCTAAGTACAACCCTATCAAACCAAACACATAAGGAATCATCATTGTGAAGTCTGCTTACATATATCGAAGGAAACTCTTTCAACAGTACATGATCCTAAAATATTTGGTACTGTACCCTCAGGGGAAAGGAATTTAACAAGCTTTCCCCCAACAATTCGTGGAGATCAGACAAAGTTCCATCAGACAAAAAAAATGTCTATGCTTCACAGCTTCCAATGTTCCATGTCTAATGTTCCCAGCTTCTATCAAAGTATCTTATGCAATCCTTTGTTGTTGATTCAATTGTAAAAAAATTTTATGAACTATTTCGACAAATGCTTCAGTGTTAAACTGTTGTTCTCCTTATAATTGTAGTTCTCTTTCACAGTCACAAAAAACAGCAATAACAACATTTATTTACTGTCAAATATTAATTGTGCTTGACAAATTCTCTTTGAAAGATATATTAAGCTACATAAAAAAAACTATGTCCTGATAATAAACTAAAATAAAAAAAAAACAAAAGACAGACCAAACAATTGAATTAACATACTGCGGGTCTGTTAATATTCGTCAAATTTAAGATTTGATTTTATTATATTTTACTTATTGTATTCTATTTAATTCCAATTTTATTTTATTTTAGTCTATTTTGTTCTATTTTACTCTATTTTATTCTATTTGATGGTATCTTATTCTACTTGATTTTTTTTTAGTTTAATTTAATTTAATCTAATTTAATTTTGTTTTATTTTATTTTACTCTATTTTATTCTAATTTATTTTATTTAATATTATTTTATTTTATTCTACTTTATTCCATTTTATTCTAACTTATTTTGGTTTATTTTGTTTTATTTTATTTCAATAAACAGGTTCTGACTTATGGCCTAATTTAAAATCTACCTAACAATATATATGTTGTCAAGTCCCCCTTTAAGAAAAGTTAACATTTCAATATAGTCATTGTTGATCATTCAGCTCTTTGCATCATATTTTCTTCAGTGAAATAATAAAGTCATTGTCCATTTACCAGGTGAACAGCTAAATTAACTACAGTGAGATGCCATTTGTGTGTGGAAAATGAAGAGATTATCCCAACCACCTCATTGACATATCTTCTCATCTGATATGTTGAAACTTCATCGTTATTAATTGGAGCCACAATAAAAAATACCCATAGCTTCCTTTAGTAATGCCTGTACAAACATTTCAGTGATTCATTTTGATTAATATATATTATATATCATTATTACATATTTTATATATATATATAAGGAAGAGAAACAAGATTTATGTGACACATTTTTACTAGTTTGAATTTTCGTAAGCCCTCTATTGAGTCCTATTTTATGCTAAGGCCTTCACCTTCTTCCAAGACTTTCCTTGACCTCTTATTCCATCCATAATTGATCTTCTCCAAGTTTGTCCTTGGCATCCTCTTTTCCTTGAGGATTCCACTCTAGGGCAGCCGTTGCAATGTAGGAGCTACTTTTGCAAAGTGTGAGGACAATCCAACACCATTAACTGGGCTTCATTTCTCTCTCCGCCCCTTTCCTTCGATCAGGTGTACTAGATCATCATTTCTGATGGTGTTAGGTGAAAAAACATCATCAGTTGTTAACAAAGACCTGCAGTTTGTCAATAAGGGTGTATGTCACTTTCCAGAACCAGTTTTGCCACACCTACAGACTAGAACAGACTTCATATTCAACTGGAATATTTGGATCTTTGTCTTTATGGTATCCTGGCAAGACATCCAAAGGGGATGAGCTTTTGTATTTGTTAAAAGTTGAAACTTTTATTAAAATACCATGCATCCTAACTATTTGTTACATAAAATGAATGCTGAGCAAGAAATTATTTTCATGTCATATCTTTTCTGCTTTGCAAGTCTACTAAGTCTAGTACCTACATTTAACTGGAATCTAATGAACTTAATTAATAATACACAGGTTCAAGGAACAAACTATAAAATATTGTATTATAAATATTTAGTCAAAGTTGTGTAAGAGAAATGTTATCAATTGAAATATTTTTGTTGAAACAAATGATTGCTTGGTACCTCCTAAATATTCCAAATAATTATTTCCAAAACAGATTGAGGCAATGGAATAGCTAACCTCATCATTAAGTATTATTATTATTTATGTAAGAATAAACCACTAAATAATTAAATACACATATTGGAAACCAAAAATCAATAATATATACCTTAGAGAAAGAATATGGATGCCATTATTATGTGGCAAAGACTTTTAGAAAGACCTATCTTTTGGCTAAGATATTTTAGTTCTAGAAAAGGTTTTTTTGTTCATTGAGCTCTATAATAACCAACATTAGGCCATTTAATTTTCTTATTACTTACCAATGTCGAGTTTTGCATCACCATTTTTCTCCCCCATTACTATCTTCACATCCTTTAAGGATATATCTGAGTTTGGGGACACTTTGGTGTCTTCTTTGGGTAGCATTCTCTCGTCTGCTCCATCGGTTTCTTTATTATTGGACTTACTTACACCTTTAGATCGTATAACTGTATCTCCTAAAACTAAAGAAAGTGTGCCTACATGGTTTTCTTTTAATTTCTCTGAAATACATACCTTCCATTTCCTTGTCTGGTACAGGCTTATATGAACCACTGCCTGGCGACTCCTTTTTATCTTCTAATTTACTATTCCCATTCATCTTGGTGTAATCACAATTACAATTAAGCAATTAAATTAATTTAAGTACTGCTTCCGTCGTTATATCGGGCGTTATAATAAAATGTGAGAGGTCAGGAGATCGCAGCAGCGATTGTGGTGTGTTCTTGTCTCAACTTTTATTCTGCTTTCTGCTGTGCTTTTTTGCTCACGGGCCACGGCACATGCACTACACTGAATTGAATACCGAATCTTATCGATTTCCTTTCTGCATTCGTTCCCTTTAAAAAGTTATACTTGAGATGATGTAAGACAAATCACGCTTGCAAAAGAATTAATTATATTAATAACATTAATTATAAAAGTATTTTTTTCTGTTAATATTATGCTAATTGACAATATTAAAAGAATTAAAAAACTACAGATAGAAAGTCAAAAATAAAAAATTCCCTAAATAATTAGTTCAGCCACAGGTTATACTTCTAACTTAACAAAAGTTGAGATTCAAATATCAGAAGTTTGGATTTAGATGTAATAATTAGATTTTTTTTGTAAAGTTTAGATTTATACCAACGGACAATGTATGTATAATGTTAAAAATGAAGATTGTCTTCTTTATCACAGCATAGGAAACAAAACATTTGTTTCCTATGCTGTGTCTTTGTCCTTTTGGAATTTAGGCAAATTTTCTATTTTATATTGTTATGTGCCAATAATTACCTGTACTTCACTGGACGAAGCACTTTTCTTTCGCGAAAAATCTAGTCCGCAGTTCTTGTCTATGAATATTATATTAATAGACACGCAAAATCTAGAAATTACGATCTGATTATTTAAAGGCGGTGATCCAGCGTTTGAAGTTTAGTTTTTATGCGATTAGCAAAGTGTTTATTTTGTAAAGCGATATACGATATTATTAGTTTTTTTTTATTTTTAACTACGTACTTCACTCAATTTCTTAACTCACACAAAAACGTAACAATTACCACAAGACAGTGGGATTAAGTGAAAGAAGTTATTGTCGAGAATTTTTATGGTCAAACAAGAAGTGAGACCAAGATGGAGGAAATTAGAGATATGATCGCCGCAATTTAACAACGTTGAAGAGAAGTAAACTAAGTTGAAGAGAAATGTCGTTAGAAAGAAAAAGAAGCTGAAGAGAAACGTCGTCAGGAATAAAAGGAAACTGAAGAAAAACGTCGTATGGAAGAAAAGAAAGCTAAAGAGAAACGCTGTTAGGAAGACAGAGAGTTGCTCGTGTGTCTTATATCAAAATAGTAACATGTATGAAAAGAGAAATCGAAGAAACAAAAGAAGACATCATAAAAGAAGTTTATAACAAGAGGTCTAGTAAAGAAAAGGCCTTGAAAATATTCACCTAGAAATTGAAAAGACCAAGCAACTGAGAATTGAAGGTAAAGCAGAGGTGATTTATTTTCCTCTAACGGAATAATTAAGCATTTTAAATTTGACAATTTGACGGCGACACCTCCTGGCCAATGTATAAAAAACAATTCGAAGTCGTTGCACAAAATAACGGATGGACATATGAACAGAAGGCAACAGCTCTCATATTAGTACTTCGATGTAAGTTCGAAATCGTCCAAAACATCATAGAGGACGCATAAAAGAACTATGAGACCATCGTATCGGTTCTAGAACTAAGATACAGCAGCCAATATTTGAAGCAATTATACCAGAGTCAACTAAAAGTGCGTATCCTAGGCTCCAACGAATCTATGCCAGAATAAGGAGCAGAATTAGAAAAGATGGTACAACTCGCTTGGCCCGAAGCCCTACAAGAGTTCCTACACCAATTCACCATCCAATATTTCCTTGATGGCCTGAACGATGTAGATATCCAGCAGACATTACAACTAGAAAGAGACTATTGTCGCAGCATTAGAGTATGAAGCTAAGAAGAATGTATCCCGCCATCAACGTCCATTACCTAAGAGATATTGCCAAAGTGGAAGGAGGCGATCTAAATACGCTGCCTCAAGTGTTGGCCGCCCAATTCGAGATATATCTTGGCCCAACAGCTGTTTCGTTGAAACAAAACGTCACGGGCGCCCAAACTGTTACAATTGTGGATTAGTAGGCCACCTTCAACGTGATTGTAGACAACCTATAAGAGCAGAGAGCATAAAATCGACCGGCAAGTCATTCCCATCACTGCAACGCAGTCCCAAGTTCTGAATATCCACAATAAGACGAAGTATCAACAGTTTAGATGCCGATGGACTTCTCAATAGTCACCGAGCAGGAAGAAGTCATGATAATGCCTATGCATCTCGAGAAGACCATGTGAGGAGTACAACTGCCAATTCTGTGAGTGCCAAAACGAATGAGGAGGACAGATTTGACAGTTGAAAACCATAGAGGACGGAAATAATGAAGAAGCTCTAACCAAGGAAAATCTCCAGCGTGAGTAGAAGAAAGATCCAGATCCAAATCTAGACCTTGAGAAAAAACGAGACTTAGGGGAAAACTCCAACAATAAATCACCAGGAGTCCATGAGAACAAGCTAAATTTACATTGAAAATTTGTCCTACATATTAAATAAGGGTTCTCGTCACCCCATATGTGGCAATTATACACACCATTTCTTGTCAAATATGCTTCATCTGCACATAACACTTTAGATGGAAATTCGGATACTCTGATAAGTTTATCTTGAAACCATCTACAAATTGTTAATCTTTGAGGAAGATCACCTTGGTGTAAATCTTGTAATTTCTGATAGTAGTATGGATGTAGAAGTTGTTCCCAAAATGTTCTAAGAACAATGTTTTTTGACAATCCAATGATTTTAGCCACTATTCCTCTACTTACATTTATTATCCACTTGTTTCTAATAATCTTTGAGAAATGTTCACAAAATTGCCTTTAGGCATACTGATGCACATAAATTTGGACAGCTAAATTACTGCTATACTGTGCTTCTCCATACATATGACACTCATGAATTGAAAACTCTTACCAGTGACACTAAACACGATTATTCTAAACTATCTGTTTACTAAAGTTGTGACTGTATATGTTTAGATGTTTGTACTGCATGCCGTTGACAGATTTCATTTTGCATATCTAAATGTATTTTCGTTTTTTGGTCAAACAGTTGAATTTAAAAAAAAATTTTACAAGAATTTTTGCTCTACATGGTGCCTTCTACTTATACCTTTAAGTCACACACTAATTTCAGGGACACCCCTCTATAGTTTGAGAAACAAAAGTCTGACAGTATCTATAGATTAAGGTACAAAACACATATTATAAAGGAAGCATTAATAATATAATACATCTAATATTCTTATTTCAGCTGTTTGGACTGAACATGCTTAAAATATTTTGAATTTATTTACTAGTTGAAATTTAAGAAACTATAGCACATAATAGTATTTAGTATACATTAAAATAATATATTTAAAATTATAACAATTTGTTTATTCAACTTTATTTATAAGACAAATTACTTCCTAATAAATACTCTGGGTCTCTCAAACATCTTAATAGCTTCTTCTATTTTTCGCAATTCACCCTCAATTTGCATCTGCTTTTTCCTAATTCTTAAAGTATCACAAGTTAGAGGTAAACTATTTAATTCATTAATTAATTTATCATAGTTCTTTTTGTATGTAGCTAAAGTTTCAATTCTTTCACTTTCTGGTAACACTGTATGTCCAGGAGGATACTGAGGTTCTAAAGTTACAACTTCTTTTACAATAAGTGGAACTTCAGGAGTAATTGTTGGGCTTCGGCCTTCTTTTATATTAGATACTTCAGGTGTAATAGTTGGACTATTGATTTCTATCAAGAGGCTATCATCAAAGTCAGTTTGTACTGATCTGTCAGAAAATTGAGGTTTACATTTTTTCTCAGAAACAGTTTTCTTTGGTCTAAAACCTTTTGATTTTGATAAATTTTTAATCTTGTCAATTGCTGCTAAAGTTTTATGTATTGATTTATCATGAATGCTTTGATCTTTGGTGTGAGGAATATTATTTTCTTTTGGAACTTTCAAATCCCCTAAAGAAAGTGATTTTGTTTTATCTCTAGGGAAACGTTTAGGGCTGCTTCCTCTACTTAATGACTTAGTTTGTTCAACCTTTTGAGCTTCTTGTACTATACTTTCCAAGTGTTTGAGGGCTTTAATATTTTCTCTTATAAAATTCTTTTTTGGGGTTTTCTTGGGTTCATCAAATATTCCACCTAGAGTTTTTAAAGGCATGTTTTGTCCTATAAACTATTTTTTTGATAAGTAACTGACTCCTACATATTTATATATATGTAAATTCAATTTATATTGATTATTTACAATAATAAAGTTCATTATATCTCAAGTATTATATATCAACAAATATAAAGCGTGTTCAGGCACTTTAGGTGAGAATAATAATTAAAAAACACAGATTTGATTAAGTTTTGTATTTTTATGTCAAAACAAATACAAAACATTTACAGAAAAATGTCAATATGTCATAGACCTTTGGCCTGGTTAGAGGCGGAACAGTTATTAATGTCATTTTAACTAGTTTTAAATTTATTTTTCCGAAGATATCTTATGAACACAATTTCATATATTTTTATTTGACTACGAGCTGCTTTAATTGTTTTTTAGAAAATTACATATTGGTTAGAAACACAAAACGGATATAAAGATGGTTCCAAGAACAGGTTCGAACTACGAAAATTATTACAGCCAGCAATATCTTTTGACAAACAGTCTTCTTCTTGTTCTGTGTGTTCTAAATAACCTGTCGCTTGTCTCTTGTCTCGTGAAATGGTAGTGGGCATGGCCTGGAATCTTATATGAATAACCTTGAACATTTCCCCCATCACTTTGACTCCAGTCGGTTAATAAAGAGAGATGACAGCCTATCTCGCTCACGAAGACTTTAACCAATCATTTTATTTTAACACCATCTCTGAATGTCACAAATAAAATAATCAAACGAAGCTTAATTCCGCCATGTCAATTCCGTCAAAAGTAATGACAAGTTGATGATATGATTGATATTTGTCATCGAGTTAAAAGTTCGGTGGAATCTATTTGTATATTTTCGAGTTTCGTCCATTTTCGTCTTCCACGTGCTTTGGCTTGTTTACAGTTTTCATTTTTAATTTAATTATCTTTAACTTTCGTTTGTATTTAGTCTTAGTAATTTCAGTTGGTTCCTTAGTTTTTAAAGTTTAGTTAGTTGATACCTTAGTTTTCATTTTTAATTTAATTATCTTTAACTTTCGTTTGTAATTTAATCTTAATAATTTTAATTTAAGTTGGTTCCTTAGTTTGTTAAGTTCGGTTAGGTGATTCTTTAGTTTTTTCAGTTTAGTTTTATTTGATTCCTTAGTTTTTAAAGTTTAGTTATAGTTCCTATAAATAAAGATTTTCGTCTCCCTACAAAACTTGTGAAAAAGCAGATAGGTATTGTCACATCACTCACGATATGTGAGATTATTCCATTGGAAAATAATAAAATATTTTGAATTTCCCAATAAATTTTAATTAGTACCGAAATGACCCACCAGAGGCGCTAAAGGGATAAAATTAATACTTAACCATTTGAATTTCCCGCCAAATGGTGATTAGTATTGACTCCACTCACCAGTGGTGCTAATAAACCAAATTTATATATAGAGTTGCCTATCTATCTGTATATACTATATTATTTATCTATGGTAGTGGGTGCTTGTGTTTTTATGTTTGTATTTTCTGCCAACCTGTAATTTTTCCGATATAGAGAAATAATGTAAAATACAAATTAGTGTAATTAATTATTTCACTATTTTCGTAATTTAGTTCAAAATCATGGGTGTACCAGCGTTCTTTAGATGGTTAAGCTCAAAATATCCAAGTGTGATAGTGAATTGTGTGGAACAAAAAGTAAGGTTAAAATTGTATTAAATTTATGTAGTAATTATTTGATAAAACATTTGATAGCACTCGATTTTTTTATTTTTTACGATAAATCTTTATTGTTTAATAATTACTTAGTTATTATATTTGTTACTTTTATTTTTATATTAATTTTTTTAGCCTGTTGATGTTAATGGGGTGAGCATACCAATAAATTCAGCAGAACCGAATCCAAATGGAATCGAATTTGATAATTTATACCTAGATATGAATGGTATAATTCATCCTTGCACTCATCCAGAAAGTAAGCCAGCGCCTAAAAATGAAGATGAGATGATGATAGCCATTTTTGAATGTATTGATAGATTATTCAGAATTGTAAGGCCAAGGAAGTTGCTGTATATGGCCATCGATGGTGTGGCACCAAGGGCTAAAATGAATCAGCAAAGATCCCGACGTTTTAGAGCATCTAAAGAAACTGTGGAGAAAATCCAGGAGGTTAAAAGAATTAGAGCTGAATTACTGTTAAAGGGTTGTGTTTTACTACCTGAAAAACCAAAGGAAGATCATTTTGATTCTAATTGCATTACTCCAGGTACTCCATTTATGGCTAGGTTGTCTGATTGCCTAAATTATTATATTCTTGAGAGACTTAATAACGATCCTGGGTGGCAAGGTATTAAGGTAAGCGAACTATGTACTTGCAACATGTGTAATGTTACAGTTAAGCAATATCAGTTTTAGGTTTACATTGAGTTTTTTAACTATTATGTTTAAATTATTTGTATTCATGGATTCTTATAATATTCTATGATAACTCATACATGTCAATTAGATATTTTGTTGTAATAAGGTAACCCTAAGTTTTTTGCTACAATTTTCTATTTGAAAACAATAATTGTCAATATATATATATATGAATATAAATTAAATTTCTCGTTTTTCACAAGAATTTTTCATCATTCTTCATGAACAAAATTAAAATTTAAACAAGATTTCTTAAATTTTGTTTGTTTTTAGGTTATACTTTCTGATGCAAACTGTCCTGGAGAAGGTGAACACAAGATAATGGACTACATAAGAAAACAAAGAGCTCAACCAGATCATGACCCAAATACCCAACATTGTTTATGCGGGGCTGATGCAGATTTGATTATGTTAGGTTTAGCTACACATGAACCTAATTTTACAATTATTCGTGAAGAATTTAAACCAAATCAACCAAGACCATGTGAAATTTGTGGTCAAATTGGTAAGTTTTTATGATTAGATAAAGTTAGACAGCACTATGCATCACTAGACCAAGTGCCATTTTCTCAAATTGTGGATTATGGCGCTTTCTGTTGGGAAATGTCGTAAATTATCTACAAAATAAATCCCATTAGTCTGTTAGTAACAGTTAACCAGATATATTTAAAAAGACCAAGTGCCTTTCTTCTTATTCTGGATTTTGAATTTTGCATAACTAGACCAATCAACTAATTTTGTGTACTAGTTTTGCATCAGTAGACCAAGCTCCTCTTGCGAGTGTTTTAATGATTGTAAATCGAATATTTGGCAACATACATACATAACCGTTGTTGACAATAACGTGTTGAGGCATTTAGGTTAAGAATTAGTGGCATTTATTGCTTAAATTTTTCTATTAGTCACATTCCAGAAGAGCTACCACAGAAAGAGAATACCTAACAGAACACAACATTATGTATGAATTGTACATTGTGTGTTGAAGAAGCAGACAAAATTAATTCTTAATCTTTAATCTTCAAAGAAAAAAGTTAAAAAAAGATACTTTTAGTAGATGTGATTGTTTCTAATTAGAAATTAAAAATTGCGCAGATAATGAAAAATTAAACAAGTTAAAGGAAGAAAAAAATGTGCACTTAGAAGAAGCTGAAAATGCACAATCTAGAAAGCTAGACGTGAAGATGAGCAATGATCAACCAAATGTGGAAACCTTTTGTTTTGATTTAGAAAAAAACTCTTCCACTTCCGAGAATTCCAACAAATATCATATATTATAAGCGTCAATTATGTATTTACAACCTTGGTATCCATAGTGGTAAGGATAACAAATGTCATTGTTATGTTTGGATAGAAGCCAGGGAGCCCAGGATGTAGGAAGTTGTCTTCAGAAACAATTGAAGAAAATGTTACTTCCGTTAAACATGTAATTTTGTGGTCAGACTCAGAAAATAGTTTTGATTCTGAAAACGATTTTGGAAACTAATTCCTCATCTCATCAACTCATTGTTGAAAAAATTCCATTACACTATCTCTTTCCTGGTCATAGGTTTTTACCCAATGATAGTGATTTTGGAGATATTGAAAATGCCCTAAAATTTCAATAATATTTATATACCATTGATGATTACCTAAATGTGATGAAGAAATCCCGTAAAAATAACCCACTAGTAGTTCACAGAATGAAAGAAGAACTCATTGGAACAAAAAAGTTGGAAACATATATTACAAACTGTAAATGTTAGACTTTGGCATATGAGATGAGTAATGTTTATTTACTATTTTCATAATATTCAGAAAATTGTACCTACTGTTAACATTGAGTTTAAGTTTTTTTTTAATATTATCGATTAATTTCTTAAGTAATATAAAATATTCAAAACAACGACTTTTATTGTCATACCCAAAAAGAAATAATAGCTTGTGGCCTACTAATCATTCATTAAAAGTGAGATTTTAGTTACGCATCACTAGACCAAAGGACCTCCATGTCGCTTGGTCTATTGATGTATAACACAATTACACAATGTGGCAAAAATCGTAAGTTGACCAAAAGCCTTTTTATTTATTTTTTTTTTTCGTTTTTCTTTAACATTAGCAAGTTACTATTTCACACTTAGAGAAAACATAAAAAACTGTATTCAAAAACAAAAAATTACGACTATTGTAACATTATAGTAAATTTTAGTAGAGTGAACATTTTGAAGTCAAATATCTGAAAATCAATTTTTGGCGCTTGGTATAGTGATGCATAACGCCTTCCATTTACCGATTTATTTCAAATTACATATTAAATTTTCAATTTAATTATTTAATTAAACTCTTATCAAATCTTAAATCCCTAAGAAATGTCTGGAAGGAGTTTGACATTTTATTAGGATTTTTATTTTTTTATTATAATGAGAGTTTATTGGCATAAATAATGTGTTTATTTGCTTTTAGGTCATGAAATGAAAGACTGTGCAGGAGGAAGTAAGTCAGAGCATGAAACACCAGGTGTTTCTTTTGGATCAGAACCAGATTTCATCTTTGTAAGACTGAATGTCTTAAAAGAATATCTTAGAAAAGATCTCCTTATGCCGAATTTACCATTCGAATATGACTTTGAAAGAGTAATAGATGATTGGGTGTTCATGTGCTTTTTTGTTGGTAATGATTTTTTGCCTCATCTGCCTAGTTTGGAAATCAGGGAAGGTGCTATAGACAGATTAGTACGTCTTTACAAAGATTGTGTTTATAAAACAGGGGTAAGTTTAGATATTGGTTATAAAATAAATGTAATAGGTACATGAAATAGAAACCTATTTTTAATATTTTATTAAATTTACATTGTAGGGCTACTTAACAGATAGTGGTGATGTTAAATTGGAAAGAGTTCAGATGATAATGTTGGAATTGGGAAAAATGGAGGATGAAATTTTTAAAAGTCGACAACAAAATGAGCTTAAATTTAAGGCTAGACAAAAAGCAAGAAAGAGGCAACAGGCATATAATGAATTTAAACCAAATTGGAATTTGGTAAAAGGCACTCAATTTGAACCAAAGGTTTGTACTGCTTAGAACTAGTAGTTTAAAAACTGTTAATCTCCGAATACAAAGAAACATGTAAAAGTATTTCTTAAAATAACATAGTTTAATTAAAATATTGTTGGCAATAGACCAGTAATATTCTTCTCTTTACATAATCTTTGTTATGTTTGTTTCATAGTGTTTAGTGTAACTTCAGGCAAATGCTAGTAATAGAAAATTAATATTATGTATCTTATACCACAAGTTTCTTGTGATTGGTGTTATTGATTCAGATCTGTGCAAAAACTTACTGGCATACCAAGTGATAAGAAGTATTTACTTCAAAAATGAATCTCTAATTTGTAATATGTAAATAGTTTTTAACACCTTCAAGGCGATTACGAAAAATTCAATTATTATGTTGTATGTTACCAGTTGCAATTGGCTGGTACTATAGAATTCTGTATTTAGATACACCAGTCGCAATAGACTGGTAGTTCTTAAGAAATGTGAGTGCATTCTATCTCTAAATTTTTAAAGATTTATGTGTAGTAATAGTTGTATACATACTAGGGATGTGTAGTTCACCATCGAAATAGTTCTAATGAACTATTCTTTTAACTGAACTAATTGAACTAGTTCATTAATTTTCATAGAACTAGTTCACTGCGAACGCCTTGCATTATAAATTGTGTCTCAACTTCTAAAGAAGAAAATAATGAATGAATGAATGAGAACATATATTTATTATTTTGTGAATGGATGGACTAACTAGTTTAAAAAAAAATGCCAATTAGCCTCAGATACCAGATTTATAATTCTTATGAATGTGACAATAACATAAAGTCTTATCTTAATGTCATAATGGTTTGGATCTTATGCCCATGTATTGGCTTGGATGTTGCCATGCTATGTTGTTTCTTGTATTGTAATTTTCAAATAAAAAATTTAGTTGTGGTTAAAATGATTGAGGCATTTACATAAAATATAATTTTATGTAAAAGTGAGAATGAAAATGTGTTATTTGCTCCTAAAAAATTCACTGATTTTTTTTGTAAAGGTTCTTTTAGAAATAACCTAATTATAAATACCTATGAGTTTAAATATATGTAAATATACCATATTTATATTTAAAACAGTTAATAAAAAACAGATCTTAATAATTTTTTGCAAATAAAAACTAACTAATCATATAATAATTTAAACCATTTAAACCTAAACCAGAGAACTAACAGTTCTCGGCAAGTTTTAAAATTTATGCATTCTGTTTAAAATTAAGACATGGTAAACATAAAGCAGGATTTTCATCGCATATGCTACAGGATGTAGTAACTTTAATGACCTTTTTATCAGTTTCTTTACTTTTCATTGTTTCCCTCAGCTTCTTGTTACATTCCATACAATTTCGCCTTTTTTTGGTACCAGGTACTTCGGGTTTGTTTTCTCAACACTGATTTTATATTCATCATTATCTGAATTAGTTGAACATTCATAAGGAGCGTAATTAGAATCACAGTCCAAATTGTCACTAAATGGCTCTCATTCGCTCAAAGTACTTATAATTGTTTCTTGGTGCCGGTCCAATTTCTGATTGGGGTCTATACAAACTACCACTTGTAGTTGCATTTTGCAACTCCAAATTTACTAATTTAACAGTGCTACCCATTTTACTCAATTCTTTTACAAATATTTTAAACACTATTATGGCTCGACCTAGATAACTAAACTAAACTAAACTGGTAATTACAAATGAAATTACTCACCAGATGAATTCATCTGGGAATCCAACAATGAAAAATAAATAACTTGTATGCATTACCACTCGAATACAACTGGTACTAAATTATCTCTCTTATTATCTCTTTCAGATAATAATATAGGTATCTATGTTAGTTTTTACCAACTCGTTTTGTTTGTACGTTACTCGCCAGATAGAAATACATGTATGTATTTTTAGCAGTAATTTTTGCAAACGTAGTTACCAGTCTTTTTCAACTGGTGGCGCAGCGAAGGTGTTAAGTAATAGATTGTAAACTACTGTAATGATTTTTTTATTCTTTTTGTATTTATATTATAGGCTATTGGACATCAAAAGACATTGGTGAATGTAAGAGACGAGGCATATAGTATTAGAAAAGCAGGAATGCACACACAATCCAAGGTTGATATCAAGCTTCAAACTACAAATGCTAAAACTGCATTGGAGTCAATGTTCAGACCTGCCGGTAGTTCAAGTTCTGGTAATATCACAATTATTGTATGCCATTACTTAGTACATGATACACATTAACGAGCACTCATATCAGTTTGCGTTTAAAAAAAATTAATTCAAATTCAGAAAATTATAATTCTAATCTAATCTAATTTAAATGGAAAATATATTCGGTTGATGTTAATTTGATCTACAATGAAATTTATACTAAATATCAAAACATAATTAATAGGATTTCTTCAATTGTAACTTCTACATAATAGGATGCATGTACCTTTGTAGGTATAAAGTTTTAAGTAGGACAAAGGAAAGGGATAATAGTTTCAGAGAATTCAGAGTTTAAGAGAAATAAAATGGAATATTTTTAAGTCTCACAGAAATAGTGTTAAGATTGTTATATAGAAAGGAAAAAGTGCTATTTAGATGAGATCGATAGATCTTTAAATAATCTTAAACATATGTTGACAACTCTTACACAACTTATTAATACAATGTACACTAAATTTCCCAACTCCATTAAATTTGAGACTTTCAATGAACAGCATTTTACATTATGCTTTAGAGATTGCTAACAAACTAAATAAGTATTTTGTAAATAGTATTGAGGAAATTATTGCCGATATGGAACAAAGTGAAATAAGTTTTCATAACTTTAACTCAGACTCTAACTTTTCTAAATTTCAAAATTTCTAAATCAAATCATTCATTCTTAGGATAATAGTTGTAGAACATATGAAACTCTTAACTGTAAAATATTTAAAAATATCTATAAAATTATATTCAATGTTATTTTACACTTTATTAATACTTTACTAATTTCCTGATACATTATAGGTCAGTACTATAGTTCCCACTACCCATTACTAAGATAACAAATACTATTAAACCACAAATACTTTACCCCCAATCGAAAAGTTAATTGAGTTAAGTGTATAATCATCAAATCTTAGACCTTATTACCAAAAATCTCATTTTATTTAGCAATCATTCAGGTTTTCTTAAAATCATTCATGTGGGACCACATTGCTGTTGACCATAAGTAGCATTAAGGCAGAGGTTGACAAGATAAATATCTAGTAGCAGTATTTCTTGAATATAATAAAATTAATTAGGTATGGATTAGGTATGGATTTTACGTTTATAAAACTATTTTATTTTTCAGGCAATGACGAACCTCGAGGAGAAAAAAGAAAACATGATGACGATTCTGATGATGATCAGGCTCATGATGAAGTTAGGTTGTGGGAAGATGGATTTAAAGATCGATATTATGAGTCTAAATTTGATGTTGGACCTCAAAATTTAGAGTTTAGGTAAGCATTTTAGTCTAAGGAAAAGAATTGGTAGTTTTTGCTAGTTTAATCTGGACCAGTTTTATCCAATTAATAAATTTTCAGGTATTCCGTAGCTTTACATTATGTTCGAGGATTATGCTGGGTACTTCGGTACTATTACCAAGGTTGTGCTTCGTGGAAATGGTATTTTCCATACCATTACGCACCATTTGCATCAGATTTTTGTAATATAGCAGGATTAAGCACTGAATTTGAAACTGACACAAAACCGGTAATAGAAATTTGATATTATAATAGAACCTTCTTATTTACAGTGATATCTTTTGTAGTTTAATCCACTAGAACAACTTATGGGTGTTTTCCCAGCTGCTAGTTGCAAGCATGTACCTGAACCATGGGCTGAGTTGATGTCGGATCCGGTAAGTATCCATATTTAATTATACAGGGTCTTCCAATAGGGGCTTATTAATCAAGAAAAAATCAATTAGGTTTTATGCTCCATGAATCATGAATCTAGACAGAAGTAATAAACTTATGGAAGAACAACCAATTATATAATACCAAACTTAAAAACATTAACAGACTAGCCCCAATTATGTCATTTGTCACTCCTCCTTCAATTGTTCTATACATCGTCAACTATTCTCTTAGTCTTATATTTTTGCTCACTTTCTTTATCTTTTTACAATTCTTCATGTGTATTATACTGTAGCATCCTGTGTCATCCTAAGTAATTAGCATCTAACTATCTACCTTCTCCAAACTAAACACCAATTAATATTACCTTGGGATTTTTGTCCATTCAATCATTACTTCTCCCATATTATCCTTTCTTTTTTAAATTCCCATTTTTTCCACAGTGTTTTATTTTTAAGTGCCTATAATATAACGACAACTATAAACATATTATCTACATAGTAGTTTCAAAAACTGAAAATAGATATATAATATGTCATATCGGGTGGACGAGAATTAAAAATGTAAACGAAAAATATCAAAATATATAGGATATCTCTTATAATAAAACATAAGTTGGTATTTTTTCTTTCCGCAATACTTGCCTTACTTTTGAAGACCTTTCTATTCTCATCATCTTATTCCAGATGAAGCCAACTCTAGGGCTACTACGATCTGATCATTGCCAATAACAATAAAATTAGTAATGTTTTTTTCTGTCTATCCCCAGCATTAAGGAAATAAATTCCACCAGATTCAATGTTCACAGCTTCTATCAAAGTATCATACGCAATCGTTTGTTGTTTGACAAACTGTTGTTCTCTTTGTAACTATTTTTCTCTTTCATTCAACAAAACTGGTCACTGCAACAACTTACTATCTCTGATTTGGTGTTTCCTATATATGAGTTTCATATTCAACTGATATTCAATTAATTGATATATACCTATTCGTAACTCATAAAATAAAATATTTTCTTAAACCCTTTTTTTTTGTTAATAATACAATTTTTAATTTCCAGGATTCCCCGATCATCGATTTTTACCCAGAAGACTTCAAAATCGACTTGAATGGTAAAAAGTTCGCCTGGCAAGGTGTGGCTTTACTCCCGTTTGTCGAAGAAACAAGGCTTTTCAAGGCATTAGAACCCTATTACAAGAAGTTATCTCCAGCCGAGATCAAGAGAAATATTAAAGGAGACGATAAGTTATATGTAAACCCCAAAAATAAAGCGTTTGATACAATGTCGGGTTTGTACAATCAGAAAGTGGACACTGATGCTGAGTGTGCTGTTTCTTTTGATGGTATGAGAGGAACTATTCTAATATCAGAGATAAATGTAGTCGTTGGAGGGTAAGTTTTTGTTTTATTCTATGATATTTTGTTTCTCATGGAGTTTGTTGCATTATTTAGTGATTTTATGTATAAGGTCGAACATTGGTTGAACTTTTTTCCCTTCTGAAAAGTAATTGCTTACTTCATTTACTTTATTCGAGATTTTCAAAATATAGCGATATTTCTGCTATGCTTTTATAGTTCGTTGCAAAACGACGTCGTTAAAAAACAATTAAATAGGCTCGTAAAAACAACTATGAGTAAAGTGATCTGCAGAGTGCAAATACAAGGCGATATGTCACAAGCGTTTGAAACATATGCAGGGTTACGGCAGGGAGACGCGCTGGCGTGCCTTCTCTTTAATATAGCGTTAGAAAAGACTATAAGAGATGCCGAGTTACACAATAGAGGAACAATCTTTAATAAATCAACGCAGATTATGGCGTACGCTGACGATTTGGATTTGATTGCACGTACTACACGAGGACTTAAAGAAATGACTTCCACCTTCTTGACAGCCGCACAAAATATGGGCCTTAAAATAAACGAGGAAAAAACCAAAATGCTAGCATGTATTCCAAATAACAGAGATAGAGCTAGAAACGCCGAACAAAACTTCAGTATAGACCAATATAATTTTGAGGTAGTAAATAAGTTTACATATTTGGGTTCTCTCATAACAAACGATAATGACACATCTGAAGAAGTTAAACGGAGGGTACTGCTAGCAAACAAATGTTATTTTGGACTAAGCAAGCAGCTAAAAAACAGAAACTTAAGCCAGAAAACCAAACTAATAATATATCGAACACTCATCCTACCAGTGCTGACATATGGGTCAGAAACATGGACCATCTCCAAAACAGACGCAAATCTTCTGCTCGTCTTCGAAAGGAAGATACTAAGAAGAATAATGGGCGCATTCTGTGAGAATGGTATTTAGAGAAGGCGATATAATTTCGAATTGTACTAGAAATATAAAAAAATAGTAAATGGTAGAGATGTAATATCCTTCATAAAAATAGGCAGGCTTAGATGGGCTGGACATGTGTCAAGAGCAAATGAAAATTACCCACCCAGACGAACTCTATTATCGGTCCCAGTGGGAAATAGGAGTAGAGGCAGACCACGACTGAGATGGAGGGACGGTGTGGACGAGGACGCAAGGAAAATCGGCGCGGCAAATTGGCAACGGTTGGCGATGAACAGAAACGACTGGCGAAATAGACTGGGGAAGGTCAAGGCTCAACTAGAGCTGTAGCATCACTGATGATGATGATGCAAAACGACGTCCTCTGTGCCATTTTTTAAAGTAAGTTTGGGAACAAGAAATAGTTACATGGCTTTAAATCTTGCAAATACCGTAGAAACTACCAAAAGGTATACAAAAAATGCTTACCAAAAAAACAAACACCAAAAAACTTTCAATATCACCTTTACATCCGATTCTGATGGTCTATAATTCTTTAACAGAATGCAACAATCCATCAATCCAAGGAAATTTCACATGGCCCGCTTTGCTATTTAAAATAATTGAGACTGTGGCTGTCACCTAAAGGTGGTTTATCAAAATACCGACAATAGACTTAAGGCAATCCATTTCTTCTGCACACACTTATAGATTTATTAGATGAATTTATACTGATTGTTATTTGTGTTATTTTTCAGAGTCTTGAATTCTCCTGTATCCGATTTAGAACCGATTACTGAAAACAAAGTATGCACAGTAAGATTCCGGGATCCAAAATATGACAAGGGATTTATATTTCCGGCGAAAAGGCTCGAAGGAGCTAAAGATCCTCCAACAGTTTTAAAACCAGGCGATCTTAGCAGAGAAGACAATAGGAATTGGAGACCACAAATTGGAATGGCCAGGTCCAACACCAGGTTAGTATTGATTAAAAAATTTAAAAATTGTGATATTTAAATGTTCCATAAGGTTTGTGAATATCAAGCTAAACTAAAGTCTTTGCTCACTATTCTCAGATTAAAATTGCAACTAAAGATATTAAAACATTGGCATCATTGTATACAAAAATTAAATCACCTATTAGCATTATGGAAAGCTCAAATGTAGTTTATAGAATACCATGCAAAAATTGTGATAAGTCATACATCGGACACACATCTAGAAATCTAATAGGCAGACTAACATCACATAAAAGTGACCTCAGAAATAATAAAAATATATGTACATTAATAGATCATGCAAATAATACGAATCATTCATTTAATTTTAATGAAACCAAAATATTAAGACATGAAATACATTACATAAAAGAGAATTCTTAGAAATTGTATGCATAAATATCAATGTGTTATAAAAAAACTGATATATTTTTAGGTTGGTTTAGCCCTTTCATTACTGATTTCATTGTAGCTAAATAAAACTGTTTAAAATGATCCTTTAATGATATTCGTTGATATCTAGAGACCTAACAAAGCGATTGATTGTTTTTCCTTTGTTGCGTGTCCTTGTATACTTAGAAAAGACATGGGATATATATGCCTCATTAATGTTAATTATAGGGAAAAATAAATCTCGTCAGTAAATAAACAAACTTATATTCAAAATAAAAAAAAAGTACATTACCCAAAAAAAAACATTACTTATGGATGATGTGGTAAAAAACAATTTTTGCATAGAGGCACATTGCACGCTGTGCAAATAGTCGTAGTTCGAGTTTCTGATTTATTTTGGGAACATCTAAACACCTTGTCCTAGTAGGTATTAAGGTAGGTAGGTATTAAGTAGGTATGGTCTCCAACGTTGATCATCTGTCTCTGTCGTTTACATATTCTTCCAGAACGTCGACTTATTCGTCTTTTTACAATTGATTTCGATCTTCCTAATTCAATTAGCTGTTCTGCTAGTGGCACCAGAAAATTCAAAAGTGAAAATTTTGTATTATCATGTTATACATTTCTTTTATGCAAATCCTTGTAAATAATCCAAGAATTTACAATAGGGTACATAACTAATCTAAAAAAAACTTTTCTCCGCCATTTCGCAGATTTTCGGTCCATATCATAATGTGCTAACGTTTTGATCGGCGAGATCTACTCCCTAAAATTATTGTAAAAAATAATTGCTTCTGGACAAGTGAACTCAACTTTTTCTCCAGTTTTCAGCTTTCTGTTGATAATAAAATTCCAACAGTTGTACTGTGAGAATTTGACATGAGCACCACTTCTTCCATATCTTTCCATTTGATCGCTAAAATTCCTTTTCGTCACCAGGTGTATAATCAGACTCTGAGGCAGCATAAAGTTCTTCATCGGATTCATTTTTAGACATATTTAGGAGGTTTCCAATTTCTTCTTGAAGCCTTTTTGTGTTAGAAAACGTCTACGTGCCATAGTAAGTCTGCAACCAAACAATACGAATGGGATAAATACTACCCGGTATAGACTACTACTGGGACACTAGAGTTCCGTTTAGAAATTATGGTAAAATCGATAAAAACAATATGAAAACTAAACAATATATATTACTAACCTGTGTTAATCGGCAACTAAATTATATATAATCGGTTAAAAAACAGAACAGCCACTTTTTCTTTACTAAAATTGTATTATTTACGAGTTGTTGATGCACAGATATTGGTATGACCCAAAATAGGATGATAGTATGACTTATGAACAAATGTAGTTAGGAAACCGACCCACATAGGGATAAAGGCATAGAGAATGATAATGACTTGTCAATACAGATAGTGCTCTTTTCAGATTATTTGAAATTTTGATGTTTTCGCATGGTACTATTGATTAGTTTAACTTTTTGTGGCAATTTGAAATTTGACTTGGCAAGCTACAATAAGTTGTTTCTTTTATTTTAAGGGCAACATTGGATGTTTCCGGACATAGAACACTTTCACACCACGTACCGCGAGGTGGATATTCCAGATCTATGGGTCAGTATGGTAATGTTCCTCCACCAAATAATTTTGACAACAGGAATTCTTATAATGGTATGTACTGAATCAACTTTACTTTCTTGTACATTTACATTGTACATTATAGTTATTTGTACGGTGTTGAGGCCTATGTAAATTTAATTATCATCAATTGGATTACACTTTGTAAAATTTATGTGTCGCGGTTATCACCTGTTCTACATAAATATGTATGCAGTTTTAAAAAAGAAAAAAAATGTAACACCTGTACATTCTTCAACTTTTAGGCAAATCTAAAATACAAATGTAACTTAAATATTTAGAATAGCATTTTTTATTTAGATATCATCGAAAAATACTCTCGGAATTTGTTAATCGTATGATTATTTCGACTTTACATACAGCTGTGTAAAAATATAAATTTAACGTACATTCGAAAACATTTAGGCCGTTTTGCAACTGATATCTCATATTCTTACAATTGTTTGTTTTATCAATTATCTATTCATAGTGCCTGGGGTCTACATAGAGCGAGATATATCTGGTAAGAGTGCGTCAGAGAAGGACGGAGTGCAAAGTGGTATAGAGCGGTACTGAGCGGTAAAGATAATAAAAAAAAAGAAAACAGAGCAAGACCACATAGCTAGGCCGATCAGGATAGAATTGATGAGAGCCGGGCATACGTGATATCGTCACAATGCGGATGGATCAAGAGTGTGACAAAGCGGGGCGCACTTAGTGAGAGCGCCCACTAAAGTGGCGTGGCAGTGGCAAGCAGCAAGTAGCACGCGTCTAGCATAATGTAACCAATCCAAACGAATGATTAGAATGAATGACGTCACTGTCATTTTGGTGTAAACTGAATCATTCGTTTTTATTGGTTACATTATGCTAGACGCGTGCTACTTGCTACTTGCCACTGCCACGCCACTTTGGTGGGCGCTCTCACTTAGAGAGCAAGAATGCAAAGCACGTCGCATTTAGTCGTTCGACGTATGCAGTAACTGTTCTTTGCAGGACGAAATACCTATATTCACAGATTAGATATGTCAGAGTTGGCTTTGACATAAGAGCTTGGTTGAGCTTTCGCTAGACATTTCTATGCTTACTGATGCCTCTCTGCTATTTATATAAGGTCCTTGAACGAATGATCCCTAATAGGCTGACAGCTGTTATTGAATCTGTTTTCATCATCCAACAAGCTGGAGTTAGACCTGATAAAAGCGGCTACTCGCAAATACTTCAACCAATTCAATACATATAAAATGGTTTCGAATATCTCAAAATTACTGGGAAAGTTTTTATAAATCATAAAGTTGCCTATGATACGGTTAACTAGGGGCTACTCCTTATTGAATCTTGATAGTATGACGAACCACCCATTTAATTAACAATTTGCTCCAAATCGCAGTTTTTTCGTAGAATTATAAGTAAACAGGAGTTGCTGGAGGATAGAAAAGAATGGGCTGCCACAAGGATGCGTTTTGGCCACAACTCGTATTATCTATCCCAACGACCAACCCTTGCTAGCAGGCACCGAGTTTTATATACGTGGACGATTGTGCCATTACAGTCCAGACCAACGACTTCGAAAATATTGAAGAAAAATTATCTGAAGCTCTCAGAAATCCTAGTGTCTACTACAATACAAATCACCTAAAACCAAATCCAACCAAAACCTGGAACATTAGTCTACACCAAAATATATGGACACAACCGTGGACCGAGCCCTTATGTACAATATCTACTGTCATAACGCAAAACAGATAGTAACTGCTAGAAACAACAAAATATGGAAACTAATAGGTACTTCTTGGGGTGGAGGCGTAACCGCACACACTGATAACTAGTGCTTATGGCCCAATATTACTCCGCAGCGAAGTATGCGGGCCTGATATGATACAGATCATGCCACGACCATGTCATGTAGATACAGCTCTAAGTAAAACTTTCCGCATTGCCACGGGCTGTCCAAGATCTCCAATCTACGGTGTATTGTTTGGCCAGTATAGCACCGCCCAACATTAGACGTGAAGTAGCATCTTGTAGCATCCACCTCACACCAACCTTCTATATGGCTACCAACCTTCACGCTAACTAACGCCTTAAATTCAGGAACAATTTTCTGCATACCACTGAAGATCTGAGCCGGCGCGAGAAAATGGACGGAGCTTGTGGAGAGCTCGAAGTGACAACATTGACAGTATCGAATTAATGATGCCTTCCTAGAAGCCCCACCGGATTACAAAGAAAGATTTAAGAGCGCCTTATAGACTTTGTGCCTGAGCGATAATATCCAAAACCAACCGAATGAAATGAGGCTTCCCCTGTGAATCGGCCATATGCGACTGTGGAGAAGAGCAAGCTACAGAACACCTGGTTTGTTTTTCTATGCCCAGCCACATGCCCAATGGAGGACCTGGTTTGCGCTGTACCAAATGCGTTTGATGTCGCCAAGTTTTGGCTAACCAGTGTGTAGCAGTCCTATTTTTATTTTTGTTTTAGCCTAATTGTATATATACACCTTTTATCTATATTATTTATATGTAATGTTATATGTTATGCTTATATGTAATGTTATATTATATGTTATGTTATTTATATGTAATGTACCTATATATGTCTATTTTAAAATGTAAGATGCTTCTGACATAAATAAACAAAAAGTGAACAACAACAGGGTGGGGCAGAAAGTATGAGGCAACACAAAGCTAAATAGGTAGGTGATAGAGAGTTATAAAAATATATAAAATATTGAATCTTCAATGTTCTCTTCAGATCTATATACATAGTTCCTTAATTTATTACCAGTGCTCTAAATGAAACTAAGAATGGGACTTGTGGTTTCATATCCAAATTTATTTAATCGCATGAGTGCCTTTTTGCACAAATAATGGCTACTTCCGAGGGGCCATTTTAAGTTTAGGGACACTTCCTCGTTATATAGCTTGTTCCTATAAAATATTCTAAGGTTTAGAAACAGATATGCTCGCAATTTTCTCGGCAAAAAAAACTATTCTACAAGAAAAACTTCATGTGCTTCTACTAAACACATTCTATAAGAAAAAAATGGACGTGGCACCGCCCAGACGGTAAAGTAAAAAATGCAATTGACTTTATACTCTCTAACTTCAAAAACATTGCTGAAGACGTTACTGTATTAAATTCTGTCAACACTGGCAGTGATCATCGATTAGTTAGGTTGCGAATAGCAGTAAATACCAAATTCGATTGAAGAAAATTATCAACACAGTATAAATTACCAAACATAGAAGCACTCAAAATAAATCAAGCGGAATATCAAAGTGAACTAAAAAAGAGACTAGGACCTCTACCTGTATTCAACACGAAAGATATAAATGAAATAACATTATATAGCATCAACTGCAAAAAAGATCTATGGTAAAAATAAAAATCCGAAAAAAACGAAATTGAAACAAACAACACTGGATTTAATGGAAGAAAGAACATCGAAAGAATAACCAGAGTATAAGGCTATTAACAATAAAGTTAAAAAGAGCATAAGGTCAGACTTACGGGCCTATCAAACAAAACAAATATTGAAAACTATCGAAAACAATAGAAACATGAGAGTATTGAAATCAAATTTGACTAAAGGAAAATCAAAGATAACTAAAATTAAAAACCAACAGGGGAATACGGTGACGGAAAAACCTCAAATAATCAAGGAAACAGAAACGTTCTATGAGAATCTGTATACATCTACTAAACAGAACACCGGAACAGACCATAGAACAATTCTAGACGTCGGCCCAGAAAGTCTCCCTAAAATAACTTCTTCGGAAATTAGACATGCCTTACAGCAAATGAAAAATAAAAAAGTTCCTGGTCAGAATCGTCTATTATCTGAAATGTTAAAAATGGGCGGCAACAGCGTTGTAGAGGTTGGTGAAGTTTTGTTGAATAAGTGTCTAACAGAATAAAGAATAGCCAGTCTGTGGAAAAACGCCGAAATAATACCTGAACACAAGAAAGGAGACACTACTAATATTGAAAACTACATACCTATAAGTTTGTTGTCACACTTATACTAACTGGTAACAAGAATAATAACCAACCGCATAACACAAAAACTTGATTTATATCAACCGGTTGAACAGGCGGGATTTAGAAAAGGGTTGGTTTTACAAACCAGAACACTACTAGAAAAAAACACAGAATATAATGTACCTCTACATATGGCATTTATTGACTTTCACAAGGCGTTCGATATGCTCGAATAGACTCACGGTACACCACACTTATTAAAAACATTTATGAACAGGCCACATTCCACATCAAAATCAATGTATACAAAAAAACTGAAAAATACGTCTTGGTAAAGCACAGTAAAGGTATTAGACAAAATGATACTATTTCATCAAAGCTTTTTACCCTAGCATTGGAAAATGTATTCAAACAGCTCGACTGGGAGCAAAAAGGTGTAAACATTGATGGTTTAGAGCAGCAAGTTCAAAAATAAAAATAGCCATTATGATTGCCAACCTCTGTAGGGAGACGACACTCTAAAAAGAAGAATTGATGGTGTACGTTTGAGTCATTTGAGGTTTGCGGACGACATAGTATTGTTTAGTACAGAAATCAAGAAACTGGAGCAAATGCTCTAGGAATTAAATCAGCAGTCAAATAAAATAGTTCTTAAAATGGATCTTCAGAAAACAAATATAATGAGTAATTTACAAATATTGTAATTGACAACGTCAGTTTTGACAATGTAGACCACTATATATCATATACACCATTAAAATCAGCAAAGAAAACCAAATAGCCGAAATGAAAAGACGCATACTTTGGTAGTTTTCGGCAAGTTAAGCTTTATCTTGAAGAATAAAGATATACCAATGTGTCTAAAGCACAGAGTTTATGAGAAATGTATCTTGCCTGTAACTACATATGGACTGGATACCATGGCCTTTATAAAGAAAACCTTTGATCATCTAGAGGGAGCCGTAAAAACGTATCCCCATGGCGTTCAAACAGTTTATCAATTATCAATGGCACATTCTTTTTGAAAATTTCGTTGCTTGGAAATTTATGGACAACAAATGCCTTTG